GTCCGGTTCCGGTTCCGGTTCCGGTTCCGGATCCCCCCCCCTCAGGCAGCGCGCGATGCTCTGGTTCCGGTTCCGGTTCCGGTTCCGGTTCCGGATCATCTCTCATCCCTATCCCTCTCCATGCGTCCGGTTCCGGGTCCGGTTCCGGTTCCGGATCACCCCCCCCCCTCAGGCAGCGCGCGCTGCTGTGGTTCCGGTTCCGGTTCCGGTTCCGGTTCCGGTTCCGGTTCCGGTTCCGGTTCCGGTTCCGGTTCGGGATCATCCCTCATCCCTATCCCTCTCCATGCGTCCGGTTCCGGTTCCGGTTCCGGTTCCGGATCCCCCCCCCCCTCTCAGGCAGCGCGCGCTGCTCTGGTTCCGGTTCCGGTTCCGGTTCCGGTTCCGGTTCCGGTTCCGGTTCCGGTTCCGGATCAACCCTATCCCTGCCACCTGGGGTTCTTACTGGTGGGGACGGTAGTGGTGGGGACAATGGTGAGGACAATGGCGGGAACAGTAGGGACAGTGGGACAATGGTGGGGACGGTGGTGGTGGGGGACACTGGTGTGGGGACAGTGGGAATGTGTTGGAAGCAGTAGGACAGTGGAGGGTACAGTGGTGGTGGGGACAGAGGTGAAGGCGGTGGCGAGGACGGCGGTGGGACAATGGGACAGAGGTACAGTGGGGACAGCGGTGGGGACAGTGGGGACAGTGGTGGGAACAGTGGGACAGCTACAGCTTAGTGGTTCGAACCGGTAGTGACCCCCCCCTTCGGTTTTCGAGTTCGAGGGGGGAGGGGTTAGGGGAGGGGGGGGGTTCTGCCGGGGGAAGGGGGTGGGGGGGTCCAGCAGGGGGGGGTGGATTTTCGGAGGGGGGGGGGGGGGACCCCCGGGTTCCGGAGGAAAAGAGCGGCAATTTTCCATAGTAAAGCGGCGGTGGATCACGCTCTCTCAAAGATCGAGATGCCAGATGCCCGGGGTTGCAGTTGTGTCACACCAGGCGGTTTCGCCCAGTTTTGCCCCAGGGCCATCACGGATCGATCCAGCCCGAAAGGTGCCGCAGGCAGGTGGGGTCCGGGGCTCCGGCCGTGATTTTGCCGCGGTGTGGCCCTTTTGTCGCAAAATCTGATCTCAGGGCCCAGACTCCCGTTGCCATGGGTTTCCCCATGACGTCGACCCCCAGAGGTCTGGACCCATTCCCCGGGGCCAGCATTCCCCAGGGCCAGCTTTTCGTCCCGAGTCCTTTTCTGGCGGCCCTGGGGCTCAGCGAGGGCCCCCAGAGGCAGAAGATAGCGAACACTCTGAGCTCCGACGTTGCAAAAGCATGGCACAATCGCAAAAAGTCACCACTGGAGCCCCGGACTCCATCTTTCTGCGTCATCTTTCGAGCCGGATCGATCTGCGAGGGTCCCTGGGCGCCCGAAATGGAGCGAACACGCCCGTGGTGAAAGCATTGCGGCGCCAGGATCTCAGGGCACGCGTCCCGTCGTGCTTGCTTCGCGGCTCGAGGTGGTCTGGGTCGGGGAACTCGTGCGTTTTTTTTGTTTTTACCCCGCGGAGCGGCCGGGGGGCGGCTTTGGAGCCGCCGGCGGCCCCGCTCGCCCTGCTCCGGGACTGCGCGGCAGCGGGCGTGCCCCCAAGCGGTGCCTGGGCCTCGTGGGCTCGAGCTGATCGCGTCGCGAAAAACTCGCGAGGAGGAGGAGGAGGAGGAGGAGGAGGAGGAGGAGGAGGAGGAGGAGGAGGAGGAGGAGGAGGAGGAGGAGGAGGAGGAGGAGGAGGCGGAGGCGGAGCAGGGGAGGAGGAGGCGGAGGAGGGAGGAGAGGAAGAGGAGGGGAGGAGGAGGAGGAGGAGGAGGGGGAGGAGGATCGCTCAGAGGAGGAACCCTGACCTGATCGCGTCGTGAAAAAGTCAGGACGGGAGGTTTTTCGCTCTCTTTCGGCCCCGGGGGGCCCCTCGCTGGACCCCAGGACCGCCAAAAACAAGGACTCGGGACGAAGAGCTGGTCCTGGGGAGGGGGTCTTCTCCTCCTCCTCCCTTCTCCTCCTCCTCCTCCTCCTCCTCCTGCCTCGTCCTCCTCCTTCTCCTCCTCCTCCCTCCTCCTCCCTCCTGCCTCCTCCTTCTCCTCCTTCCCTCCTCTCTCCTCCTCCTCCTTTCTCCTCCTCCTCTCCCCCCCCTCCTCCTCCTCCCCAGGGACGATGTCCTGACTTCCAGGGACGCCGCATCGAACGAGTCAGGACATCGCATGTCTGGGAGAGGTGCCCCTGGCCCAGGGTGCCCCCAGCTTTTCGGCCAATTTTGGAGCCCCTGGGGCCCTCTGGGCCTCGTGAGGGGTGCTCTGGAGGCCGTGGGAGCGTTCGTGGACATCTTGGGGGCACCTTGGGCCAGGGGCACTTCTAGCAGCACCCGAAGGGATACCGATGCCCCTGACCTCCTCGCGTCATGAAGAAATCGAGGCGGGGGTCGTTCTGCTGCTGCTGTTTTCGGCCTGCTGGGCCTCGGGGCCGTCACAAAACGACTCGGGATGAAAAGCTGGTCCTGGGGGAAGGGTCGAGACCTCTGCGGGTCGACGCTGTGAAAGAGACATGGCGTCAGGGGTCTGGCACCGCTGTGCGTCCTGGAGGGCCCCGGCCGCCAGGGCTCTCCGAAAGCCTGGTCAGAACGCTCCGCTGGGGCTGCATTCTCCTTGCAAGTGTGGGCAGAACGCTCCCCAGCAGACGCCCGTGAAGCAGACAACGATCAACGATCAACGATCGGCGATCGACGATCAGCGTTAACGATCAACGGTCAACTACCACCGACCGTTGACGTTTATCGTCGATCGTCGGTCGTTGATCGTTGATCGTTCTCGTGATCGTCATCGTTTTCCGTATCGGTGACCTCTTGCCCCCCCCAGTTTCGGTGCGCGCTGCGCCAGCGCAGCGGCGTCCCCGGCGCGGGCGTTCGCGATGGGATGCCGCAAGCGGCCCAGGACTCGGCGGGCCTCGAGCGATACGCGCCCTCGGGAAGCCGCGGTCGTTCCAGGTTGAACCCCAATCGCCAACTAACGATCAACGATCGTTGATCTTTATCATTGACCGTTGTAGCCAGGCATCGAGCGATCCGCGCTCTCGGGAAGCCGCGATCCTTCCAGGTTGAACCCCAACGATCAACCAACGATCAACGATCACCGATCGTTGATCGCTGATCGTTATCATTGACCGTTGATCGTCATCGTTGCACGGACGTCTGCTGGGGAGCGCTCTAACCAAATGCTCGAGGAGACTCCAGCTGATTCGGCCAAGGCTCTCCAGGATGACCAGCGGTACCGGCATCTTCCCAGGCGTCTCGATGTTTTCGAGACATGGGCCCCCGATTTCTCCACCACTCCCCCAGACCAGTTCTTCATCCCGAGCCGTTCTCTCAGGGCCCCGAGGCCCAGCGAGGGCCCCGAGAGGCCGAGAACAACGAAAAGCCTCCGCCTGGATTCTTCCGAGACGTCGGATGACTTGGTCCACGCGGTGTCAGAGACCAACGTTTCAGTCGTCACGGCGTTCGCGATTGGATGCCGCAGGTGAGCCAGGACTCGGCGGGCATAGAGCGATCCGCGGCCTCTCGTCGCCTCGGCTGGGCCCGCCTGGAAATTGTGGTCAGAGCGCAGCCCAGGACAGGTCCGTGGGTTCCCTGTGCAGCGACATACCTTCCCAGGCCTCCGACGTCTTACCAAGACCCAGACGAATATTTTTCGCCGTCGTCGGTTTTCGGGAGCCGTTTTCGGGTTTTGGGGCCGTCACCTGGGGCGAAAAAGCGGCCCCTGGTAAGGGGTCGAGAGGTCCAGTGGCCGTGTGAGGCGTTTCCGGAAGAGCCTCGCCTTCGAGGAACGGAGAGGCTGACGTCTTCCTCCTCGGCAAGAGGCGACGCAAGGCTGGCGGAAGGCGGCGGAAGGAAAACGATCGCGCCTCCACTAAACGTTCGGCCTTCAAGGGATACGAACTCAGGGTTTCAAGGGCTGGCCACGTATGGAACGACTCGCGACGTCGGAGGTCCAGGAGTCGATCGGTCGGATTCGGTGTCGATCGGGGGTGGACAGAACCCCCAACAGTGACACGTCGATTCGTGAATTGTCCGTTTTCGGTTCTCGAGAGGGCGCCGTGGCCGTTATCTTCCAGGCTTGCGCCCGCCAGGTCTGGGCCTCAGGTCGTCTTCCCTAAACCGCGTTTTACTAAAGGGGGTCGATCGGGGTCGACCTCACGACCTCCTCGATCGGGGTCGACCTCCTCGTCCTCGACGTCGTCCTCCTCGTCCTCCTCCTCGTCCTCGACCTCCTCGCCCTCGACGTCGTCCTCGACGTCGTCCTCGACCTCCTCGTCCTCGACGTCGACCTCCTCGTCCTCGACCTCCTCGTCCTCGGCGTCGTCCTCCTCGATCGGGGTCGACCTCACGACCTCCAGAGGTTCCGACCTCGGCCCGGCGCCCGCGCGGCGCTCTCGCGCTTCCTGAGCGCGGCCGGGTCGATCAGGGCTCCGTGCCGTTTCGGCCCGGCCGATTCCACGTGCGTTCCGGCCCGACTTCGGGAGTTCTCCTCCTCCTCCTCCCTCCTCCTCCTCCTCCTCCTCCTCTCCTCCTCCTCCTCCTCCTCCTCCTCCTCCTCCTCTCCTCCTCCTCCTCCTCCTCCTCCTCCCTCTCCTCCTCCTCCTCCTCCTCCTCCTCCCTCCTCCCTCCTCCCTCCTCCCTCCTCCCTCCTCCTCTCCCTCCTCCCTCCTCCCTCCTCCCTCCTCCCTCCTCCCTCCTCCTCCTCCTCCTCTCCTCCTCCTCCTCCTCCTCATCCTCCTCCTCCTCCTCCCTCCTCCTCCTCCTCCTCCTCCTCCTCCCTCCTCCCCTCCTCCTCCTCCTCCTCCTCCTCCTCCTCCTCCTCCTCCATCTCCTCCTCCTCCTCCTCCTCCTCCTCCTCCTCTTCCTCCCTCCTCCCTCCGGCTGGATGTGTTGATGTTGACCGATGTTGCCACCGCGGCCGTTCCGAGCCGATTTGGACGGCCAGCGCTGCGGCACACGGCCAGCTGGATCCTGGTTCGGGGCGAGCTGCCAAGCTCGATCCAAGCGATCGGAGTCGGGTTGATGGCCCGCTTCGATCGGTCGTCTGTAGGTTCAGAGGAGGGCCAGTTGAAACATTGGTGGCGGTCCTCCTCCTTGCCGATCATCTGCGGCATTATCCTCGTCCTCCTCCTCTTCATTTTCCTTTCCCTCCTTGCTTCTCATCTCTCCTCCTCCCCCTCCTCTCTCCTCTGTCCCTCTTCGTAGTCAACAGCTCGTCGTCGCACCACCAGCCGTGTCGGTAGGGCGGCCAAGCGCTTCGCCGAAGACGTCCTCGCATGATACTGTGTACGGTGCCGGAGTTCGAAATGCCTGGCAACTTCACGTATGGAGGGCTCCCGTCTCCACAAGGCGGCGCTACCTCTAGCGCTGCGCACATTCGTTTTGCACACCTGCAGGAACTGTGCGCATTCTGGGGGGCCTTCGTGCCGCGCGCGCTCGTCTTAAGAGCTCGCAGCGACTTGTACGCACGGAGGGCGGTCCGTTTGAGAGATGGGATTCTCTTTCTGCTTTCACACGAACTCGTGTCGGACATACTGCAACGTTGCAGCAGCTACACATGGTTCACTTGTAACTATTCGAAAGTTATTTGGTTTTCTTGTGGGCCAAGATCCCTTCATTTCTGATTGTTCTATCCTGGGCCTCTTCCTGGCCACTAAGGGGCCAGGAACAATTAGAAGCGAGCACCACTAAAAAATGAGCACGAATAGAAATGAACGACGTGTGCACAGGTAGACGGGCGGCGTGTTCTTTCTCTGACATCATATCTTGCTCGCCAGGGAGGGAGGGAGGGATCGGCCCAACGGGAAGGGGATGGGGGGGAGAAGTGCGGCACGGGGACGAGGCCCCCCGGGGCCGCGGGAGGCGGGGGGAGGCGCAGTGCCTGGCACAGGAGGCAGACCTGGCCCACGTAGCCTTCGCGGCACCTCAGGGCTCTTAGGGCGCCTCCTCCTCCTCCTCCTCCTCCTCCTCCATCCTCCTCCTCCTCCTCCTGCTCCTCCTCCTGCTCCTCCTCCTCCATCCTCCTCCTCCTCCATCCTCCTCCTCCTCCTCCTCCTCCTCCTCCTCCTCCTCCTCCTCCTCCATCTCCTCCTCCTCCTCCTCCTCCTCCATCCTCCTCCTCCTCCTTCCTCCTCCTCCTCCTCCTCCTCCTCCTCCTCCTCCCCCTCCATCCTCCATCTCCTCCTCCTCCTCCTCCCCTCCTCCTTCTGCTCCTCCTCTCCTCTCTCCTCCTCCTCCTCCTCCTCCTCATCATCATCCTCCTCCTCGCCCTCCTCCTCCTCCTCCTCTTCCTGCAGCGCCCCCCCTGCGTTTTTTGATGCGAGGCCCCTTGGGGCCTCGCATCCACATTCCCGCCGGGGCAGTGCACTCGTTCCCGGGCGCCGTCGTGGCTAGGTTCTCGGATTCGCCGCCAACGCGCGTAACCAGGGGAAGAGGAGGAGGAGAAGGAGGAGGAGGAGGAGGAGGAGGAGGAGGAGGAGGAGGAGGAAGAGGAGGAGGAGAAGGAGGAGGAGGAGGAGGAAGGGCAGGAGGAGGGAGAGGAGGAGGAGGAGGAGGAGGAGGAGGAGGAGGAGGAGGAGTAGGAGGAAGAGGAGGAGGAGGAGAGGGAGGAGGAGGAGGAGGAGGAGGAAGAGGAAGGGCAGGAGGAGGAGGAGCAGCAGGAGGAGGAGGAGGAGGAGGAGGAGGAGGAGGATCGCTGACCCCTCCAGGGGAGGAAAGGACAGACAAGTGAGAGAGAGAGGCAGAATTGAGGCCTAAACGAGTGCAGGAGCGTCTCCCTCTCCGTGTGGGGCACCCGCCTGAGGGGTCAGATGCTTCCTTGCTCGGGGCGTCCAAGCGATGCCAGCGCGTGGGCGCCCAGTAATGGATCCGTGCAGCAGCTGTCTGCGCTGCCCTCAGAGCGCGCGATGTGCCTCGCGCTCTGAGCGTGCCCACCTCCTGTAGCCCTTCTCCGCAGCCGCCCTCTTCTTTTCCCTCCCGGCCTGGTCTTCACGAGCATAGCAATAAGCTCGGCCGTGGCCCGGTACGTTCTCAGACGTTTCGTGGTCCCTTCGCGCTGCTGCGGCATGATAATTTGAAACACGTGTGTGTGTACAAGTATGTGCGTGTATGTGTGCGTGCGTGCGTGCGTGCGTGCGCGCGTGTGTGTGTGTGTATATGTGTGTATGTGTGTGTGCGTGTGTGTGTGTGTGCGTGTGTGTGTGTGTGTGTCTGTGTGTGTGAGCCCCATATGTCTGGAGCGCTCCTCAGAGAGCCCTCGCCTTCGGCACATCCTCGCCCTCGGCGGAAGACTGCGAGAGGCCAGCGGAGTGGAAGCTGCGGCGTGCCCGCCGGCAGGAGGTCGGCGGGAGTACAAGTCATACGCCAACGTTTTCGGAGTCATGAGGTTCTGCAGTCGGCCATGTGTGTGTGTGTGTGGATCTCTGCGTATGACGAGCCCCGTGTGCGCTGAGTCCTGCGTGTGGCAATCAGTGAACAGAGCTTGGCGTGTGGACCAGCGTGAAATACCCACCTGCTCTCCTATTGGAACCTGTGGGGATCCAAGCGGCACTGGCAACGAAAGGCGATCAGCAGCCATAGGAATTCAGGCGAAATGCAATCGAGTTCCACATATATAGAGATATATCCATAGGAATCTGGATGCGATCTCTGGCCACGCTCGCGCCCAGTGCCTCGCAAGCATTGTTTTCAAGATACCCCGTCAGGCCAGTTAGTTGCAACATGCGTGCCCGCGTGTTTTTTACCGATGCTACTTTTCTTCCCGGTCGTTGGTCGGCGCGCCAGTCGTTTCTACGATAGTCTTGTTCGTAATATATTGGGCAGTCGTGCCCGCTTCGACGCGATGCGGACCTGAGGCACTTCCGTATCATGTGTAGCCCTGCTTTTGCTCCTCCCCGTCCTTCTCTTCTCCTCTCCCTCCTCTCCCTCCCCCTCACCTCCTGTCACCGTGCGTTGTGTGTATGCAGACTTGTTGGCCGCTTGGGTCTCGGTTGATATTCGCATGCGGCACGTTCGCTTTCTCTTTCACGCCAAGGCTCACTGCATGAGTTTGCCTATCGCAGGTCGGCTCGTGTGAGGTTCCTGGTTTGCCTGGCGACGCTTTCATTCGTACAGCGGGGAGCTAACATACTCATCTCGCTTATAGGGCTTGTATGTAGCTTTCGTTGCGCTGTTGTGTAACTGGGCGCCCGCAGCTGTGTGGCGGCATCCTCCTTTTCTTAATGAAAAATGGTGTCCATAGGAATCCACTCGGGCATGCGAAAAAGTGCGACAAGCAGCCTTGGAACATTAAACGAAGCCATATGGACCAGTAGGAGCCCGTATGAATTCAGGTAGCCACCTGGAAACAATGCGGCAAGTAGCTACAGGAATCTAGGCGAAGTCATGGATACCCAGGCGGAAGCCGGAAACACTCAACAGCAAGCCGCTATACGCACATGAATCCATTTTCAGTCAAAGCCGGTTCTGGCGAGCAAGTGCGACTGGCAGGGTCAATTCCCTGGACCACAAGACAGAGCCGCCTCAGCGCAAGTGCTGCCTGGGATGGGAGCTGTTCTTTATGATGGGGCTCTCACACGACGCTCCCCTGACTTCCATAAGAAAGTCAAGACGTTGGAATAAAGACCACGTTGGGCTCAGGAGGGGCTTCGCTGTTCGGCCGCTCCTTAAAAATCGAGGTCGGGGAGCCTATTCGTGGCCGAGGCTCGCAGGGGCCAGAAGGTGCCATTCTCTCCTCGTTCTGCGCTCCTTGTGGCAGCATGGTGGCCGTTCGATATCTTGACATGCGCCAATGGATTCAGGGTTGGCGGCGACTTCTCTCCAAGGCGGGACCCTCGCTTGTATGGAAGACCCATGTGGCTCCCTCCTCCTCCTCCTTTTCCTCCTCCTCCTCCTCCTCCTCTTCCTCCTCCCCTCTCCGTCTCCGCCTCCTCCTCCTCCTCCTCCTCCTCCTCCTCCTCCTCCTCCTCTTCCAATCCTTTCCCTTAAAGATAATGTCTCCCTGTCGCACCCGAGGCCAGATTTTAGAGCGGGCCGGGCTTTTCGCCTGAGAGATCCTCACCACTAGTGACCCTGAAGCTTCGACATGGGCAACGGTTTCACACATGGAGGGCGGGTCGTTTTCAAAAGGTTGCTCTCGCCTTAGCGCCGCGCGCATTCGTTATTAAACATTTGCAAGGGTTCTGCGGATGGAGGGCGAATGGTTCTCGACACGAAGGTCTCGCTTTAGCGCCACGCACATTCGGTTTAAACAGTTGCAGTTGTCGAGAGCTTCACGGACTGAAGGCGGTTCCTTTTCAGACTGTGGTTCTCGCCTTGGCGCCACATTCGGTATACAGATTTGTTGCAAGAGCTTCACGGGTTGAGAGCGGTTCTTTTTCACCATGTGGCTCTCGCCCTAGCGCCTCGCACATTCGTTGTACACATTTGCAAGAGCTTCACGGACTGAGGGCGGTCCTTTTTCAAGCTGTAGCTCTCGCTTTAGCTCCGCGCACACTGGTCTATAGCATTTGCAAGAGCTTCACGGGTTCCCATGATCAGCGTACCAGCAATTGTGTGTTGGAGAAGTTAAGGATTATGCGGGTGCAACAGTTATGTTGATTCGCGGTGCTGCTGTCCGGATGGCGTTCTGGCGCGATTCAGGATCGTCAAGACGCAACAGGCAGGTCGATCCGTGGCGTTAGAATCCCCCAAACAGTGTTTTGGCATGTTTCAGAGTCTTCAAGCAGTTGTCTTCCGACGAGGCAGTTCCTTCAATGGAAATGAACCGTTGTAGTGGCCTGTGAAGAGGGAGCTAAGAGGGAGGGCTTATTCCAACATCGTCGATGACTCTTGGGTTTGCACTGGGCATCCTCCTCCTCCTCCTCTCTCATCCACCCGCCGATGTCACAACAGGCCCTCCTCCGATAAGTGCGTTCCTTTGCCTTGGGCGCACATTCGAAGCCCGTTCCCAGGCAAGCTGCTGTCGAATCGACAGTGCCTCGTGGGAGGAGGAGGAGGCGGGCAAGGAGGATGATCAGCAGCAGGAGGAGTGAGGAGAGGAAGGAGAGGTTGAGGAGGGAGGAGGAAAGAAGAAGGAGGAAGGGAGGAAGGATGAGAAAGGAGGGAGGAGTAAGGAGGAAGGAGGAGGGAGGGAGGAGGGAGGAGGGAGGAGGGAGGAGGGAGGAGGAGGAGGATGATACCAGTGTAAGCACACAATTCATCAACGATGTTGGAAGAAATCCTCCTTCCAAGATTCCTCTTCATAGGTCCCTACAAAGATTATTTCCACTGGGGCAATTGGGGCAATTGCCCCGTTGGGAGACAGCCGTTTGAAGATCGTGAAACGTGCCACAACACCGTTTCCGGGATTCCAACTCCCCGAATCAATCTGACTGCTGCGTCTTGACCATCCAAAGTCGTGTCATAAGTTTATTCCTGGGGCTTCAAACACCTCGAACCAACGTAACTGGCGCGCCCTGGCAATCTTGAGCCGTTCCAGAATATTTCTGGCACACTAGCCATGGACCATGGAAACCCGCGAAACTCCGCACTTGCTTTAAGACGGATGTGCTTGGCGCGAAGGGCAGAGCCACATTTTGAGAAGGAACCGCCCTTAATCCGTAAAGCTCTTGCAACTGTTTAAGGCGAGTGTATGCGGCGCTGAGACGAGAGCCACATTTTGAAAACGACCATACGACAAAACGTCAAGCTCCTACTATTGTTTCAGACGAACGTGCGCGGTGCTAAGGCGAGAGCCACATGTTGGAAGCGGCCGGCCCTCCATCTGTGAAGCTGTCGCCAACAGTGTCATAAATGGTAAGGCAGTCTCAGGCGAAACGCCCGGGCCGCCCTTCCGACTGGCCTCGGGGTGCGACAGGGAGGAGCTATTCATGAGGAGAAGGAATGAAGAGAGGACTTGGGTGAGAGAGGAGGGGAGGGGGACCGAGGATCGAGGATCGAGCAGCATGAGGCGGCGCAGTCGATACGGCCGCCGCGCCCTCCGCGACAGCGCCGGGCGCCGTGGCGCTGAGGAGGGCTGGTTCAGGCGACCGTCCTCCGGCGCCCGCTTCGAGCGGCCGCGAGGGCACTCGCCCTGGGGAGCGACGCCCTCCTCCGCGCTGCCCCGCCCACGGGCAGGGCAAAAGCGCTGTGCGGTCGCGGGGGCCCCCCTTCGGGAGCGAGGCCCTCCACCGCCCAGCCCTTCCGAGGCAGCGTGGCAGGAGGCTCCGTGTGGGAGCCGCATGCCGCAGCAAGTCAGCAGCAGGAGCCGCCATGTGGGGGCCACATCCTGCAGTAACGACGTCGGCGGCGGGCTCCGGGTGGGGGCCACATGCTGCAGCAACCAGTGCAATCGGCACGCGCCCTGGCTAAAGCGGCCGGACTTTGGCAGTGCCGACCACCCAGCTGGCACGTGAGGCACCCAAGGGAGGCACGCTGAATGCGGGATCCGTCCCGCAGGCCTTATGACCCGCTGGTGCGTAAAACTGATGACGACGCTGTCCTTTCGGAGAATCTTGTCGGTGGCGTCCTGCATGTCGCTTGGCTGCTGGGACCCTGGGTAACTGTCCTCCGTTGGGCCGGAATTTGCCGTCTGGCCAGTTCTGGCTCGCCTTGGGTGGCGGTCCAGCACGCGGTCGTTGTAGCACCGTTACTCCGCCGTCTGTCGTACGTTCTCGGCAAGCTTCCACTAGCTTGACGAGCTACAGTACGAGCACCAGAACTACCATAAGCGGCGACTGCCATACTGTGGCTGTAGTGAGCGATCTTGCCGTTGACTTCGGCCGTGTCCGCACCGTGGAGTTGCACAGCACGGCCATGATCTGCTCGATGGATATCTTACTGGCGCCCTGTGCAAGCTCCTGCCTTCGGCCAGTCCGTCACGCTGTACTTGCCTGGGGTCCTCCAAATTCCAGGGCAGATCCGCTTGCCACGTCAGCATTTGAGTGGGTGTCCTGATTCTGCCTCGAATTGGGGCCGTCGATCTTTGGTGGTGGCCTTCGGCGTCTTGGTCCGTTTGTGCATGGTGGGGCCCGTATCCTTACATATCTCGTCGGTGCTCGCCGCCGTGCTCATTTTGATCTTGGTGAGGAACATCTCTGTGCGCACAAGCTGCTCGAGCTCTTGTTTGATCTCCATCTGAGCTTTCTCCGATCCACTCTGTACCATGCCATTTGCCACTTTGTTTCCAAGGCTGATGGCATGAGGCTGGCCCGTCGTAATGACGGAGAGCTCGCCCAAGTTCGAGAGGCAGATGATCACATGCACACTGGAGTCGTTACCCATGTGCTCCTGGAACACTTCTCCGATCCTCTACCGCAATCGCGCCATCTTGCTTTTGGGCCTGCTGTGGATCATGTTCTGCCGTCCGTCATTGCCCTGCTAGCAGTCGATGTAGACGATCTACCGGCCACGTGTCAGCAGCAAGGTCCAGAGTAGTGCTGCATGCTCCGCTGTTGGTGCGGTCTGCCCTCCATCTGCTATGCCAAAGCGGCCGTCGTACGTCCAACCGGTCTTCCCGCGTAGTTCCATCCTGCTCTATGTCGTTGCTCGTGGTGCCTGCGTTCGCCTGACCTGATATCAAGCCAGCGGCTTCATCATCATGATACCCTGATCGCGGTGCTCGATCTCGCAGCAGAAGTCGGAACGGGTATCGCAGCTGCTGAAGCTGCTGATGGTGGGCCACCGGCGAATCCCGAGTCGGATAGAGGACCGGGAGGAGGCGGGGGAGGGGGAGAGACGGGGATCAGGGAGGATGGGACAAGGGACGACCGCCTGATGTTTGAAGCAGATCACTCTTTCCGGCGCAAGCGACTTGGACTATTGATTGCAGTGTCTGCGGTTGGCGATGACGTGTGTTCAAAAAGCATGCTGGGCGTTCCGAAGCGGCCTCGGGTTGACTTCTCGGCGGAAGCCGGCCGAAGTCCTCGATCGTTTTCCGATCGAAGAACGATCGGGCATTTTCGGTCACCCCGCGTGCTGGGCCTCGACACTCTTCGATCGGACCATCTTAGAACGACGAGCTAGAACCTGGAGGTATCACAAGGCCAACCCTCGTCCTCGGCGCAAGCCGCTGGAAGTACATCGAGGGCGGCTCCACGGGCGGAAGTGCAACGGAAGTGCAGGCTCAGGGGCAACACTACGAGGGGGATAGGCGTAGGGGAGGTGCAACGACCCTCAATCGCCCGTAGATCGCCGATCGGGACCCGATGGCCCCAACCTGCCCAGGAGCGTGCGGACTCACTCTCGGGGGCCTATCGCCGATCCATCGGCGACGTCTCGCCGATTCCAGGTCGCTGTGTCCCCCCCCCTACGCCTATCCCCCGCTGTCGTTGCCCCTCACGGGTGGACCCCCCCCAAAAGATTGGTGCCGACGTGCCCAGGGTCTTCAGTGTCGGGGGCCTATCCCCGATCTATCGGCCATGTATCGCCGATTCCCGGTCGATGTCCCCCCCCCTCCCCCCTCTGGGCGGGTCCCCTCTCCGTTCCTTCTCCGTGTGGATAACTCCGCCCCGTCGCACCCCGAACCCAGTTTTTTAGGCGGGCCGGGCGCTTCGCTTGAGAATTCCTCACCACGTATGATTCTGAAGCTTAAAAGTGGCAACCGTTTCACAGATGGAGGGCGGGTGGTGTTCAAAATGTGGCTCTCGCCTTAGCGCCACGCGCGGTCTCTGTAAACATTTGCAAGAGCTTCACGGATTGAGGGCGGGTCGTTTTGAAAATGTGGCTCTCGCCTTAGCGCCGCGCACATTCATTTTAAACATGTGCAAGGGTTCACAGATTGAGGGCGAGTGGTTTTCAACATGTGGTCCTTGCGTTAGCGCCGCGCACATTCGTTTTAAACACTTGCAAGAGCTTCACGGATTGAGGGCGGGTGGTGTTCAAATTTGGCTCTCGCCCCAGCGCCGCGCACATTCGTTTTTAAACATGTGCAACAATTTTTTGTATAGATATGTAAGAGTTTCACGGGCTCCAATGATCAGCGCATCAGAAAATGCGTTTTGGAAGGATTCATGAATACTGTATGAGGGCGCAACTGTTATGTTGATTCGCTGTGTCCCCAAAAATGCGTTCTGGCACGATTCTGGATTGTCAAGACGCAGCAGTCAGGTTGATACGTAGCGTTGAAATCCCGAGAACAGTGTTTTGGTACGCTTCAGGATCTTCAAACTGTTGCCTTCTAGCGAGGCAGCTCCCTCAATGGACATGAACCGTTGTAGGGGCCTATGGAGAGGTAGCTTGGAGGGAGGGTTAATTCCAACATCGTTGATGACTCTTGGGTTTCCACTGATCCTCCTTTCCTCCTCCTCCTCCTTTCTTCCTCCTCGTCCTCCCTCCTACTCCTTCCTCCTCCTCCTCCTTCTTTCTTCCTTGTCCTCCTCCTCCTCGATTTCCTCCTTTCTCTACTCCTCCTCCTCCTCCTCCTTTCTTCCCCCTCCTTCCTTTCTCTTCCTCCTCCCTCCTCCTCCTTTCTTCCTCCTCGTCCTCCCTCCTACTCCTTCCTCCTCCTCCTCCTCCTCCTCCCTCCTCCTCCTCCTCCCTCCTCCCCCTCCTCCTCCTGCTCCTCCTCCTCCTTTCTTCCTCCCTCCGCCTTTCTTCCTCCTCCTCTTCCTCCTCCTCCCTCCTCCCTCCTCCTTCCTCCTTCCCCTCCTCCGATCGTTGCCCCTCGCAGGTGGGCTCTCCAAGAGATGGCCGGTACCAGGCGTGCCCAGGGCCTCCAGGATGCCAGAAAAGGTGGCGAGCCGCGCCGCGCGGGGCGGCCGACCGGGGGCCACACCTTCTTTTTGTTGCGTGTGTGCTGCATGTGCAGGGCGGTTCCAAATGGCTAGCTTGTTGAATCTGTCAACATTTTTTTGATTCGATTCACAGGTTTTTGTCCTTATTGACCTTTCAAATCTCGGAGTTCAGAGAACCGCCCTTGAACTCCGCCAGTGTGGGCTGCAGGGCGAGCAGGTGTCTGGCGTGCGGCTGCAGAGAGAGAGAGAGAGAGAAACGAACAACAGCAACAACAACACAAGACAGGGGCGCCCTCCCTCGAGGGCGCGAAGTTGTTCGCGCGGCGCGCCTCGCGGTTCGGCTCCGATTCTTGGTCCACCTCCTCTTCCCTGGGGGGGCGGCTCGAGAGCGCGAAGTGATGCGCGCTTGACGCGTCACGCAGCGCGAAGCGCGAAGTTTGGCGCCCTTGGAAAGAGAGGGAGAGAGAGAGAGAGAGAGAGCGAGAGAATGAGAGAGAGAGAGAGAAAAAAGAGAGAGAGAGAGAGAGAGAGGGGGAGGGCGGGACATGGCGTCAGAAAAGGAGGAGCAGCATCAGGCTGCGTGGAGAGACAACTGGGCCCATACCCGCGCGACGCTCAGACCTATCGGAGCAGAGTTCCGCGGAGGTCTCTGGGTGTGTGTTGTCGGATGTCCCCGCTCGAACGGGAGCTGCCCCCTCCTCAGATCCGACAGCTCGCGCCCGTATCTCTCATGCCTTCATCGCCTTGCCCTTCCCCATTCCTTTTCCCTATAGGTGTTATTATTATTCTCCGATCCAGGCTGCAGCATCCAGAGATCCGACGTCGTGATTTGCTCACGCCGCGGTTGCTGGGACGGCCCCAGGGCCCAGTAAGGGTTCTCCTGGCCCGAACGTTGTCAAAAGCCCTCCGCCGTGATGTCTCATCACGACGAGAGACGGTCTGGGTGTCGAGGGGATTGGTGCAGGTGGTGGCGCCGGGTCTCGTGGAAGAGCCACATCAACGCAAATACAGTCTCGCATCGCGCGGCACGCCTCTCGGAGACGCCTCGCCTGATCCCCCCATCTCTTCCCTTCCTTCCTGCTGCCCCCTCCTCCATTCCTTCCTCCTCCTCCTCCTCCTCCTCGCCCTCATCGTCCTCCTCCTCCTCCTTCTCGTCCTCCTCCTCCTCCTCCTTCTCTGCCTTTTCGCTCCCTCCCTCCCTCCCTCCCTCCCTCCTTCTGTTCCTCCCCGGACAACCCCGCTCCATTCCTGATCCCCGCCACCCTCTTCTCTGATTTCGGCGGTGCGCCCCAGGGGCGAACGCCGGTGGGGGCGGGCCTTCTCAGAAGGCCACACCCTGGCCGGGACCTTCCCTGGCAAGGAGCTCACGTGGACGTGTCCACTCTGCCCCATGGGCCTGACCACGACACCCACCACACAGGCAGCACGAGAAGCACGACTCACGCATCGTCTTCAACACCATCCCAAGGTATACGTGAAGCAGTTCTACCTAAAGAAGGGGAGCACAGTCCACCAGGCGCAGGCCAAGCAGGCCCAAGCCAGGCCCTCCCGGGGACTGCTCAAGGCCAAGATCACTGGCCACAAGCTCGCGTACTTTCGCATGCCTTATGGCCCTCGTCGCGACAGAACCCATGTACGCTGTCGTCGGTGCTGGCGCCAGGCTTGTTCAGTCAACAGGCTGGGGGTCTGCCAGCCCATCGCCAGACCATCGGGCAAGCTGGAGGTCACCATCAGGCAGGCTGAGAAGGCCCACACCGAGGAAGGCGACCCCGCCCACAAGCAGGAGATCCAGGACTACCTCGACTTCTGTCACCAGGCTCGTCGGGCTGGTCGTAAGGCTGCCCTGGAGCGACGTGCTACCTCAGTTCAAGGAGGAGGCAACCACGACTGGCACAAGTTCCGATGGCCACTCGGACAGAGCAAAGGCAAATCGCGATTCGTCTGCACGGAGTGTGGCATGCTGGAAATGAAGCCCACGAACAACCTATCGACTTCGTGCCCTTGGGCGTTCACCGCGACCACCATCCAGAGGCGACGACACCTCATCACCAAGGTCAGGAAGGTGGCTCGCAGCAAGGCTCTTCGGGAAGCTCTCGGCTACCTCGAGAAGGCCAAGGTCACAGCAACCTCATCTTCAGCGAGTTCGGCTTCCACTACTTCGCCATCTTCGGCAGCAGCCACTTCGGCGAGGTCAGGCACAAGGACGGCGCCCACGTCGGCGACTGAGGGGCGCCGTTTTTAAGGCCCCCACCCAAACCAGCCATTTTGCTGAGGTGCCGACAGTACAGGCTCGGCTACCCTCAACTTCCAGCACTGCAGAGTTGCGTAAACAGATCACTGTTTCGACCCAAGGCTTCACCAAGCAGCTGATCAGTACAGGCGATCAGGCTGCACCCACTGAGTTTACTGCTGAGCACTCGCTGCTCCGACTTGCCACTCTCAACGTCCAGGGCCTCTCCATCAAGGCAGTGAAGGTGTTCACCCTTGCGAAAATCTACGACGTCGACATCCTCTGTATCCAAGAGGCCCGACTCTCACTCACCAGCCTGCCTGCCATGATCAAGTATGCTCGGCGGCGTGGCTACAAGTACACAGCAGCAGGCCCACCTGGCCTCAACGATGGCAGGTTCCTCATAGACCCCATCATCTTCTCCAAGCAGCCCATTGTGCAGCTGGAGGTCCCAGAGTTCGCTGGCAACGACAGGGTGGTCATGGCTGCACTGCATCTTCCACGAGCAGAGCCCATCGTCCTCGCCAACCTGCATGGCTACACCCCCATGGCTGGCACCAAGGCCATGTTGCAGCATGTCTTTCAGCACGCCGCTGTCCTACGTCGGCGCCTGTGCTGCATCGGGGATTGGAACATGGTACCCACTGAGGGCTGTGTGGCCGAGGTTCTTCTCAATTGTCGTCTTCATCTTCCTGAGACGCCCGCCGAGATCGACAAGGCCACCCACGACAAGGGCCGACACCTCGACTATGCACTCTTTCATCGCGACCTCACTGTCACACATCGGGGGCAAGCTGAAGGAGTGGCAGACCACGACTTGGTGTACTACGACCTCGCCTGCTACTCCCAGGAGGAGCAGTACACCTACAAGAGCAGGGCACCGCTCATCGGCGACGAGGACATCACCGAGGACACCTGGGAGGAGGTCTACAACCAGTTCGCACACTTGTTCGACAAAGCAGAGTCACACCAGGACGCCAACGCCATGTGGCAGCTCCTCTCCGACCACTCCGAGAGCCTACTCACCCACGAGGTGGCCAAGGGTCGACCCAGGTCAGCTTCGGCCAAGGTGGTCCACTTCCATGGCTCCTCCACCAAGCATGTCAACGACGAGACCAACGCCCTGGCCCAGCTGTACAAGCTGCGCAGAGTCGTCCGACAAGTCACTCTCAGACCAGGCGGTCCCGAGGCCGAGCGCTCACTTCGTCGACGACAAGGGCTAAGAGATACTCAGAGCTCGGCGAGGTCGACCTCCACACCGACTTCGGCAAGGGCATCCTCGAGGAGATCATCCACAACAGGGAGCAGAACGACAAGCTGGCCAGGCTCAGCAGCTGGAACGAGGACATGACCACCAACGACAGCAAGACCCTGGCATGGCTCAAGCGACAGCGACCAGATATACCAGTGCAGGAAGTTCGTGGCCCACTACACCCACAACAATGAGTTGAGCACGAGCGAGAGGTCTGGGAGGGCATCTGGTGTGCCTCACCGGCGTCCCCAGAATCGGCCGATGAGTTCATCCACTTGCTGCCCGATGCCAACTCGGCACAGGGGTCGCCGACGCAGCTCCTCGTCGACGCGACAGGTGAACAGCTCCGAAAGCGAGCCAGGCAACTTGCAACTAAAGCTGGTGGTGCCGACGGTTGGCTGCCCAGGCATCTAGCACGACTGCCGAGCCCCTTGGCGCGCCCTCCTTGCGAGGATCTGAAACCAGATACTGGGGGGAGTCAAGGTGCCAGCTGTTTGGGCACAGGTACGAGTTGCGCTGATCCCGAAACACGATGGCTCAGGTGGCTCCCGACCGATAGGGATAGCGAGTATTGCATGGAGGTTGGGGATGAGCAGTATCGCGCGACAGCTCAGGGCTTGGATTCGCTGGTGGCTCGATCCACGAATTGCCTCAGGGCCAGGCAGAGATCCAGCAGAACTCGTGGAAGCACTGGCCGCGCAGATTGAGGGCGCCAGAGATGCTGGCCCTTCCATCTTCGGGGCTAAGATCGACCTCTCCAAGGCGCTCGATCGCTGCAGCGTGGCGCGTGCTCTACACCTACTTCGACACCAGGGCGCGCCAGCTGGCCTGCTCCATGCTGTGCAGAGCTTTTACTCCCAGAGGCAGATGTTCTTGGAACTCGAGGGCGCTGTGGCTCATCGTCCCATCCTCCCTCAGAGAGGACTCCTGCATGGCTGCCCAGCGAGCGTGATCCTCATCTTGTGTGACATGAATTTGTGGATCAAGTACGTCGGCTCGGTGGCTCCTGAAGTTCATGTTCGGGCATGCGCCGACGATCGTACCATATGGGCGAGAGGACCACTGGCTTGGCAGAGGTGCCACGATGCCCTCCTGGCTTCCTGGCGCTATGATGCCTGGGCAGGGTGGTAGTGGAACGAAGGCAAAGGAGCGACCTTTGCCAGGGGCAAGGTCGGGCAACCAGCGCGACCACCAGCGCCGCCACGACCTCGTCCACGCCACCTCGGCCACAAGGCAGACCACGAGCTCGACCACGACCACCTCGACCACGAGGCAGACCCCGACCACGACCACAACGACGGTGAGGCAGAGCACCAGCCACCAGACGACGACCAGAGCTCACCAGACCCTCACAGGACCCCAGCTGCCACGATCTGCGATCGAGTTGGCAAACAGAAGCACTTTGTGGAAATCTTGGGGGTGAGGCTCTCACTACGACGTGGGCCACCTACCATGGTTCGCGAGATGAGCAGTGACAGAGCGCTCTACCAACTCTCACGACTACGACTGGCGGTACCACACATCAAGGGCTGGCAGAGGAGGAGGCGCTTCGCCCAATGCCTGGTGCTCTCCAAGCTCAGGTGGGGTGGGCGGTGGCAGCGACCCCCGAAGCTCGTGTATCGTAAGTGGGACACCCTCCTGCTGGACGTGATTCTGGCGAGGCCCGAACGCTCCTCCAGAGCCCTAGCTATTGCAGTGGCTGGACCACAGTCCTCGGTGGAGTTCCAGCTCGACTTCGACTCGCTGATGCACGAGCTGCGGCGACTTCGGCGACACCACCGTGGCCAACCACAGGCGCGCGACCTGCATCCTCGCTGGGAGGAGGTTCTGAGGCAATGGGGCTGGAAGGCCAAACCTCCTACCACCACCGCGACGACCAGCGCCACCGACCTGGAGCCACTTGTCTCGACCTACACCACACGAGATGGCGACCTCGACCTCACGAGGGTGGGGAAGAGCACGCTTCTGCACATCGCCTGGAGGGCTCACCTCGACCAGGTCTGGCGTGCTGAACCTAGAGCACGAGACCCCACCACGCAGGCCCGACTGCTGTGTGGGGAAGTTCGCACACGAGGTGATCCGAGCTCATATTTAGGATGGGCGCTGGGGCAGAATCGCATGTACACTGCAACGAAAAAAAGGTGTACCATTCAGTCTGGGGGGGGGGTCGATCCTCATATTTTTGTCGGACGGAGAATCCAAGTGGTGCGAGGTAGGCGGTGTGCAGGGGCGAGGTCGCCGGGCCCGCGCACGAGCGTTTTAGTTTCGAAACTCCGCGTGCTTTATCTGCGATGGGTCCCCCTTCCCTGGCGCGAGGAGGCGCTCCGTGGGCGGCGCTGGTGTCACCGCCAAAAGGGTCCCAGCGCGGATCCAAGACAATCCGCGCGGATCTCCGACGGTTTGTATTCATCGTGCAGTTTCCTGTCCTTTCTTCTTCTCATTTTGCTTACTCTGCTTTAAATTTTAGTATTGTTAATTCCTCGGTTTGTTGCTGTTTTTTTGTTTTGCTTTCTTTTTCTTAATTTCCTTATTCCTCTTCTTCTTCTTCGAGAGAGGCCGTGGTAGAGAGGGAGAGAGGAGGATAATGACGAGGAGGACGACGAGGACGACGAGGACGAGGACGAACACGACAATGATTATTTTCCCTTGAGCTTTCCTCCTGGCGCTCACAGGTTGGTGGGGTTGACGACGAGGGGAAAGAGGAGGAGGAGGAGGAAGAAGAGGAGGAGGAACAAGAGGAGGAAGAAACCGATGAGGAATATGAGGAGGAAGAGGAGGAAAAGGACCACTGCAAACCCAAACTTCGTCAAAGATCTTGCAATTTACCCTCCTTACAAGTTTCCTCGTCATAGGCCGCCCGAAGGACTCATGTTCTCTGAGGGAAGTGCCCCGTTGGACGACAACCGTTTCAAAATCCCGAAGTGTGCCAGAGCATCGGTCCTGGGATTTCAGCGCCGCGAGTCACCGTTACCGTGCGTCTCGGCGATCCTGACTCGTGCCAGAACACCATTCCTGGGACTTCAACACCGCGAAGCAGCGTAACCGCTGCGCCCTGACAGTCCGACATCGTGCCGACACAATTTTTTGGGACCTTCCACATTTTGACAAGGAGCCGCCCTCCATCCGTGAAGCTCTTGCGTAGTTTTGCATACGATGGTGTGCGGCGCGAAAGCGAGAGCCTTATGTTGAAAAATAACCGCCCTCCATCCTTCAAACTCATGCAAATGTGTGAAGCGAGTGCGCGTGGCGCGAAGGCGGCAGCCACTTTTTGGAAACGACCCGCCCTCCACCCGTGAAACCCAGGCACTTTTTTGTAAGGCGAATGTGCTCGGCGGTAAGGCGATAGCCACATTTTGAAAAAGGAGCCGCCCTCCATCTAGTCAAACGCATGCAAAATTGAAAGGCGAATGTGCGCGGCGCCCAGTCAGCAACCACATCTTTAAAATTGCCCGCCCTCCATCCGTGAAGCTCTGGATTTTTTTTAAAGACGAACGAATGCGCGCGGCGCTGATGCGATAACCGCAATGTGAAACGGAACCGTCCTCCATCCGTGAAGCTCTTGCAACTCTTCAGCGTAATTTTCACACATGACGAGGGAGTATCAGGCGACAAGGCCCACCCCACCCTACCGACACGCCTCGGGGTGCGACACAGGGATGTGAGTTAAAAGGTCGGAGGACTAGGAGGAGGACGAGGGGAAGGAGGAGGAGGAAGAGGAGGAGGAAGAGGAGGAGGAGAGGGAGGCGGAGGAGGAGGAAGAGGAG